ACAAAATGCAAACTCAGAATACATAATAACTTTAAACTTAACTGATTATAAGAACCATAGGCTTCATGGAAAAATACAGACTCGGAACACATAATAGCTTGAATCATACTTAATTATAACATAAGGCCTCCTTGTTTCCTCTGTATCCTCCCACATAAGAGTCCATCTCATATCCTTTTTTTTCACCAGGTGGCTTCTCTTGTTGGCTCCTCCAGCATCCTCTTCTGCGGCGTGCTGTCCAGAAACATGGAGGACTTTCCAGCGTTTCAGGCCTTCGCTGTGCTGATTGCTATCCTGAGCTGTGGCTGCATGCTTTATACAGGCTTCTACAGCGAGAGCCGCTATGATAACAAAGGATCTGAGTCAGATCTTCCTGTAGACCATCAGTCATCAGTTTCCTTCACTACGCTGAGGATGTTGATGTGGCAAATCCTGACCAACAGGGACTTTCAGATTTTTGTACTCATGAACTTCTTCCAGGTTTTTATGTTGGCCTTCTTCAATAGTTTCACCATGATATTTGTTGAGCACCTGATTCCTCCAGATGTGCTTCCATCTCTTGCCAAGAGCATCATGTATGGAGCAGGATTCATCTGTCCACAGGTACCATTCTACAGGGGATCCATTTATTTTTCTATGAAAGCATAGATTGGAAATGTATCCCAGGTGCATCATTGACAGACAAGCGGTTTAGTCATTTTTTATTTGTCCTTTGAGCCTCCTGATACCTCCAAAGATAAACGCATTCCAGGAAGTTGCTGTTTTTTGTCAGTAAAGTAAGAACAGCAGCTTCGAATTCACTTTATAGTTTAAAACTCTCCTACAATAATGCAATGAAGTGATGACAATCTGAGTAGATGAGGATCATTTACACCACACCGTTATTTGTCTTCAGGGTTTCTATTCTTGGGAGCTCTTGACTTAGTACTGTCCAGTCTAACACCCTGCCTCCATCCCAGCTGTTAGTGTTGAGCTGTCAGAGTCTGCTGCATGGTCTTGGCTACTACAGGATCATCCTGTTCACCTTCTACATGGAGGCTGGAATGGCAGCTGTCATGCTCGCACTTGGCCCTCAGCACTACTACATCCTGGCAACTTTCCTCACCGTTAACATGTAAGAAGTTTCTGATTTGGTTTTTGTTAAAAACAATGACGTCACTCTGACTAAATTGAACCTAAACTCTCCCTTGTCTTTTTTACAGGGTGATAATTCAAGCAGCTTTCAGTCTTTTTGGTTTGCCTTTGGCGGACATCATCGACACAGACCTGCAGAAGTACAAGCGCAGGTAAACACAAGTGTCACTAGACGTTCATAGGATGAAAGCCAATCTGCTCACATGTACAATGTGCACCACTGTCTTAGTTCAGCATGCCTACAGTTGCTTATCAGGCAGATGGGAATGTTGTTAGTTTTGCAGGTATGTGGTCAAAGTATCAGACAGAAGAACCTCTTGATGGTCCAGCTGCTGCAACATGAACTATTAGGGGATCACACAAGTGATTTATGCTGAAGATACCATAAATGTTTGCACAGAACTGCATGGTGATTTATTCTGTAGTTGTTGGGCTATTTCCATCTAAATGAAAATGGTGCACTGGCAGGCCACCACCACCGTCAGCAGAGCTGTGCAGCTGCAGGTAGCACAACTAAAAATATGATGAATATCAGCACGTCCACCAACTCCATCATCTCTCAGATACAAATACAAACAACGTCACTGCCTCCATTTAGTGCTTTTACTCAATAAAACAGGAGAAAAGCTGATAATTGAACTTCTGCAACCAAGTGTTCAAACATACAATGACACCAGTTTGTCATTTGAT